GTTTTCCTTGTCTTTATTTCTGTTGCCCTCTTTCAGTACCTTGGAATCTGTACTGTATTTTGTAATTATGCTGCTTATGTAGTGTTGCATGTATCATGTATAATTATAATGTAGCAAAAGTGATATAATGCCTAATTGTTCAAACTACTCTTCAATTCTGTTTTATAAACCATGCTGGATTATTGCAGCTTGATTTCTAAATTACATCTGTATTAGAGATCATATCATGATCATTCATAAAAATCTGGTAGGTGTCCATTTGATCTGGATTTTTTCACCCTGACCATTCCAGGATCATAGGTAGCACAAAAATCTTAACAGAAAATGTGTTCAAGAATTTATACCCCTTCCTAACTTGACTTGGAACATCTCACATCTTAATACAGTCTTGCAAATGTATACTTCTCAGGTTTCTTTTCCAATACAACTTTTCAACCCTTTATTGTCTGGCCATTAATTTATCTAGCCAGTCTATTTCTGCTGGCAAATTATACTGTATGTTTTCACAAACAAAGTCAATGAACAATTGAATGTAATAAGCTAAGGCTGAAGGATTGGCTCAGTTCTTTGCGAGCTGACATAGTTCTGCTAAGATATCTATTTTGGCCTGAAAAACTGGGTTTTGCAACACATTAGGAGCCCATGTGTCATTCACAGTGTTCCACTGAAAGGCTTGCTCAGGGAACTCTGGATCATTCTCCAGAGATGGAGCCTTGTTGAAGTCCTCCTGACTATCAAGCTTCTTCGGGTCACATGCTTAATATGTTTACTCTGTCCAAGAGAATTCACCTGGTGTTGACTTCATTTATCTGCCCTTTCTGGAAAGCCTCAGCTGTTTTATCCAAGAAATTATTTTCTTTCCTGATATATTGGAATTTAAAACCTGTTTCCTCAAGCCTCTTCCCTTTTTCTTCCAATAATGAAACAAGCTGTCAGAAATGTCTGGTGTATCACATCAAAAGCCTTTCCTGTATTCAGCAAAAACACCATTGCAGGGTATGTTTCTTTGTTTTCCTGAACAGACATCCATCCATCCATCTGTCTGTTCTTATTTATAGGCCGCCAGACTTCTAACTGACTCTGGGCAGCTTGCAACTAAAAGCCCAACACAGAACAAATACAACCAACCAGAAAAGCAAAGTACCAAAATAGATCAGACCAAAGCAAAACAAAGTAAAACAAAAAGGGGCTCCATAATCACCCTGTCCCCAAGAACAACCAGATTTTCAATAATTTCCTGAAGGAATTAAGTGTGGGAGCAATACATATATCCAGAATGTCAAGTAGTAATGTAATTTTATCAGACAGTTGGCAACCTTTTGTAAAACTAGATTGTGTAGTATGATTGAATGTAATATTGTCTGTAATCTACTAAATATCTTACTAATACAATTTAATAGGATAATCATCAACACACAGAGATTTTCCCATTTTCATACATTTAATGGGTTCTATAATTATTCCAACAGATGAAGAGTTAGGATTAAAGTTAGGTATATTATAAAAACATGGATTAATTTCTTCCTCGTTTATAGGAGGAAATACTTTTTTAAAAAAAACTTGATTTATTGAATCAAAAGCAGTAATGGTAGAAATGGCTCACAAAAATCTTTGCTTTATACTGGCCAGTGAATATTCTCTTTCATATACCACAAGGCAACTAAGTTTCTGTTTATCATTCCTAAAAGCTTTATATAAATTGGGTGTGGGTCATCTTTATATGGACTTGTCCCTCCATATTTTCCTGTTTAACTTTTTTTTTTCCCATGAAACAGGAGGTAGAATTAGTTCTGTAGAAAATATGCACCCTTAGCATAGATGGAGTTTCAGGAATGGTGATTATGGTCTTATCAGAGGCCTCAGCATAGCAACCAGCTGTTTGGTCTGCAACCAGCTGCACTCTTCTGTAGTTTGTTTCTTCAGCCATTTATCTCTTCTTGCAATGCATGCTTAATTTCTACTATTTACTTTAT